GGAAAGCGGGGACGAAGATGTTGTGGAAGAGGACGCCAGGGCGGCAGAAGCTTGGTTTGGTGTAGAAGGCTTCCAGCAAAAACAGAAGTTTATCTTTAAACAGAACAGACTGGAGCTCCTGTCTTGCAATAAAGATGAACCATTTTCCATCTGAATACTTCCTGTCTCTGGATGTTTCCCACTGACCACATTTAGCCTTTTAATTTCTTTATTAAAATCCCATCTCCACTACGCTGCCTTATGTAAAATCCTGCAGCGTTGTGGAAGTGCTGCTCCTGCAGTGGAAGGCTGTTTCCATTTAAGACTAATCCAGTTTACTGATTGGTCAGTTGCTGACGAGCCTCTGGGATTGACAGGTAGCATCACGTCAATTAGGAGGGCTGCTCCCTAATTGGTTAAAAATATTGATATCTGATCTAGACTTAGACTCAACTTTATTAATCCCCTGGGATTACTGCTTCCAGTAGCTTAAATAGAGTAGGAAGAGTTAAAACAAGATACCATTAAAGATAAAAATAAAACATATAATGTAAAGAGTGTGTATATAGCAAAAAAAAGCATTAAAATAAAGTTACATTTTCCAGAATGTAAAGGCTACAGTAGTTGGCATAAGTTATTGCACATGAGTGACGATAGGTAATGTTTAGCATCAGATGTCCAAGGAGGGGGGGTGCTGACCCTTGTCCCGCTTCCTATCACCTCCTCCTTCCCCCCAGTGAGGAGTTCAGCAGTCTGTTGCTCCTGCATTTGGGGAGCAGCAATCTCCCACTGATCAGGCTCCTCTGAGTGCTGAGGACAGTCTGCAGGGTGTAGGTGGCTTTGTCCATAATGTCCAGCAGTTAAAGTGTCCTTGTCTCTGCCACTGTCCCCATAGGGTCCAGCTTCTAGCCAATCACAGAGCCGGCTGGCCTCACCAGTTTGTCCAGTCGGGAGGTGTCCTTCATGGATGTGCTGCTTCCCCAGCACACCACGGTGTAGGAATGCTTTAGCAGCAGGGTAGGATGGTGGTGCTCTGTAGCTAAGGTGGGGGGGCAGGTGGCTGTAGCAGCGGTGTAGGGGTCACAGGCTGGTCAAACCTGTTGAAGAACGTCCGTAAAAGTTTCAAATCCAATCCACTGGACCTGGTTTCCAAGGTTTGAAGACATTTGGCTTCCCCTCCAGGAAGCTTTCTCAATTCAAATGTCTGGATCCGCAGTGAGTTTGAGTCTTTATAGAGTCAAGGCCTTGTATTGTCCAAGTCCAGTGGATTGTTTTTTAAACTTTTATGGAATGACTATGACCTGGATGACTGAGAATCTTCATCAACACCTGTTGAAGAACCTGTTCAGGTCATCTGCCCTCTCCATTGTCCCTTCAGCGCCCCTGGTCGTTGCGTGATGGTCCTCTCACCTTCCCACATGGCTCTCATGTTATTCTCCCTCAGCTTCAGCTCCACCTTTCTCCTGTAGATGTTTCTGGCTTCCCTCACAGTGTCTCTGCTCCTGAAGGCAGCCTTCTTCCTGCTTAGGACAGCTTTGACTTCCCTCGTTACCCAAGGCTCGTTATTCAGGTAGAAGCAGACCGACAGGTGAGACAACGTCAGTGCCGAAGTTCAGACAGTGAGTTATCCCCTATAAGTCCTCACCATGCGGTCCAATCAGCACATCCCAGTATGTGGTATTAAAGCCGTCCCTCAGGAAACTTTCCATCTCAGGGGAACACCTCCTGAAGGTGCAGGTTGGAACCGGCTGCTTTTGAACAAGGAGGCAGTACTTTGGCTGTAGGTGAACCAGGTTGAGGTCATACTTGCCCAGTGGGGGGAGGGGTCTATAGAGCTTGTGGTTGGAAAATTTAGATTGCTTTTATTTCATATATTGATTTCAGCTGTTTATTCACTGAAAAATGTTTTTCAGTCTGTTTCACCTGCAAGGCCACACAATGCCTGACTGAGGCATTTCTTCCCATAACGAGCCAGATTCTTTTTTCCAGGTTGCTTCATAAGATGTTATTGTTTAACCAAAGTGTCATTTTTTTTCTTCTGACTACTTTCCATTATTATAAGCAAGGAGGAACGAACGCTGCCCAGATCAGAACAGGGCTGATAACCATGCAGTAGGGAGGGTATGAGATTTGTTCTCTCTTTGCAAAGATGTAATAAAATGCTGACTGAGTGAAATCCATCCACCTCTGTTTAAGGGCAGTGAATAGTTTAACACTTTTTTCCCATGGCAATCTATAAATAGATCTAACCAGTGACCGCTAACCTGTAGGTTTCTCATTGTGTCTCGGCTCCTGTTACAGAGACGCTCCAATCAGATCATCCAGTCAAATCAAAGGAAAAATAGTCACTGACCGTCAGGATCAGCTCTTCCTGGATGAGGAGGTAGAGACAGCAGACACTTGTACTGTCATTTGCATTTTGTTGTTGAACCTGCAGTAATCCCTCACACCAAGCATGCTTGTAGCGACAGTGGAGAGGAAAATACCAGCAGAAACGGATCATCTGCTACCGGCCGCTATCATCCATTTTTACGGAAGAAGTTGCTCCTATAGAACAACCACATGAAGCCCTCCTCTGATGTTTCTGACCTTTCAGGTCCAGGATGTGTGAGATCAGCAGAGGCGTCAGATGCTTTCCCAGCTGGACCAAAAACCTGCAACTTGGAAAGTGGTTGTTCCTGCCATCAGAAGCAGTTATGCTGTTAAATTTCAGATTTAATTTGCAATAAATATCAAAAATAATATTAAATTAAGAAAATCAGACAATTGATGTTAGAAATACAAGTTTAGAAGCTTCTGTAAATGTTTTAGGGTGGAACCAATGTTCATTGTGTTGTTTAGGTTGGGTCAATATTTCAGTTGCACGCCGCCTGTGACGCTTGCATGCTCTGTTCGAAAACCTAGGACGCGTCCTTAGAAGGCCGGATTCGAAGTACGATGACGTCATAGCGCGGCGCCGAGGTCTGGTCGGATTCCAAGAGTCCTCGTTATGCGGCCTTAAAATGCGTCCTTCTTTTTTCCTGATTTGAAGGACGGGTCCGATGTATCCTCGGTATCCTTGGATATCCCAGGATTCATTACGAGACCAAGCAAGCCCTATAAATATGCTACAAGCTCGGAGGAAAAACAAAAAATGGCGACGAA